AATCTCTGCCTCCATCCATCTTCACATGGCTTTCTACTTGTGTGTGCCTCTTGTCTCTTAGAAGGATACTGTTCTTTGGATTTAGGCCCTACTTGGATGACCTCAAGACTCTTAATTACACTTGCAGACTTTTTTTTCCCCCAAATAAAATCATAGTCAGAGGCTATAGGAGTTAGCATGTGGACATACTTTTTTTGTATGTATCTTCTTGAGATTTGTTTTGAGGTGAAGTTACTTAGAAATAGTTTGATCCTCAGATACAGCTTTTATGATTTGTCAGAAAGGTTCAGAACAGTGCTCAATTTGAGTTATTTTTCACTACTGAGGCAAGACCTTCCTAAGCACACTACTCAAGAATTACGTTTTTCCAGTCTGACTGGTGGGAGCAGACATTGTTCCCAGCCTTAAGTGAGCCCTGTGTAATATTCTCTTTAATTCTTTTCAAATAAATTTTTTTCCCCTAGTGTTGGGGGATTTCCTCATGTACACCTTAATCAGTATCCTACTGAACATGGGGGGAAGCTTCTCTGCAGATCTTTGGGATTCTCTGCAACTCTTCTCTGTGGTATTCTGTCCTAGGTCAACTCCAGATGTCTTGGTGTCCTCAGACTCAGTTTCATCACCTCAACACAAATGAAAAGGTAAATCCAGTTGCTGGCCAGAAGCAGAAATTCCCTAGAATTTATATTTTAGGGAACCATTTGAGGCCTGTGTCATCCAGAGTATGCATTTAATGCTGTCTGATGTCTGTCTATTCACATCATCAATCAGTGTGAGGTTTTCCAGACTACAAATACAAGCATATCTTGGAAAAACTGAGTTCGGTTTCAACCACAATAAAGTGACTACTGCAATATAGTGAGTCATAATCTTTCTGCTGGTGCAGGTCTTTGTAAAAATGCAACATATGTGGAGCACAATGAAGAGCAATAAAACAAGGTACGCTTGTACATGGAAGTTGGCAGGTCCAAATTCTTTGTGGAGTTCCCTTTCTTTTTCCACTGTTCAGCTTTGGTGTGAAATAGTCCTTTTTTTTTTTTTTTCCTGGCAATTTTGGTGTTGGTGAGGGGAATGTATATTTTCAGTTCATTCTTTTCAGCGAGGGGATGGTTCTTTGGGGTCCTAGCTGTTTTGGGAAGAACCATTAGTCTTCCTTGCCTTGGACAGGCCCTAGGTTTTTGTCTTCTGTCCCACAACCCTGTAAAAATTAGAAGCTCATTTATTCAGCCATTCCTCTTTTGGCCTGAGAATTCTTTATTTCTTAATAGTTTATCAACGCATATGACTTGAAAGGACACATAAATCATCTGGGGTACTTTTGGTTTTTAGTGGGAAGTCAGCTGAAGACCCAGACCACCACATTACTGCTCCTTTGCAATATTTGCTTTAGTGTATCTGCAATTCCACTATCTTTATGTCTAGACTGTGCATTTGTTCTTAATAATTTCTTTTAACGAGGCCCCAGAAATGACATGTTTCCTAGTGACCGTTTTCTGTCCCATGAGCTCACTCCTGATGGAAGAGAAGCATGGCTTTATTCGCTACTTTTCTATTATTCACAGTTCCTTCATTGTTGGCCACTGCAAAGCCCCTTCCCTTTTCTTCTCCAGATTACCAAGTTTTGTCTAATCTTCACAACCTCTGAGGTAAGGATAATCATGTTTTAATAAATGAGATGACTGTAGCCCACCAAAGTATTAAATAAGGTTATATCACTATATAATGAATGATGAGTGATGTCCTTTAGACTTCAAGTCCTGTTACTTCAAATGAATACCACCAGCTGTCTTCTGTTTTTAGGGTATATCTTCATTCTTTTTTTTTAAATTTAAATTCTATGTGCTTTTAATTTTTTTTTTTAATCCTCACCCAAGGGTATTTTTCCATTTATTTTCAGACAGAGTGGGAAGGAGGGAAAGGGAGAGAGAGGGAGAGGGGGAGAGAGAAACATTGATGTGAGAGAGACACATCAATTGGTTGCCTCCCGCATAACCCTGACCAGTGCCAGGGACCAAACCGCAACCAAGGTACGTGTGCCCTTGACTGGAATTGAACCTGTGACTCTTTGGTCTGCAGGCCAACCTCTAACCGCTGAACCAAACTGGCCAGTGCTATCTTCATTTATTTTTAACCTCACCCGAGGACATTTTTCCATTTTTTGTTCAGGTAGAGTGGGAGGGAGAGAGAGATTGAAACATCGATGTGAAAGAAACACATCGAGTGGCTGCCACCCACACGACCTACCAGCACTGGGGACAAACTGCAACGGAGGTACGTGCTTTTAGTGGGAACTGAACCTGGGTCTCTCTGGACCGCAGGCCGACGCTCCAACCGCTGAGCCAAACCGGCCGCTATCTTCATTCTTATGTTGCCTTTACTGTCTTCATTCATAACTGATGTTGTAGTTGCAGATCTCATTTAATTTTTTTTTTCCCGTTATGATTTGATCTTATAAACATTTTGTTCACTCATGGTGGTCTATTAACTTGCGATTAAAATTATTTCCAGCCCTACCCTTTCCCCCTAAAACCTAATTCAACTCCAGAATCATTTTATTTTATGCAGGAAAGACAACATATTCTTAAATAACACTGACTTTCTACATACTTTACTTTCCCTCCCCTCCTTGTTTTGGGGGGATGTTGGTGGTAGACGCACATACATAAAAACTTGATCCTGAGAACACATTCAACAAATAGTTGACAGATAGTTGACTGATGTATAAAGAGTACTGCTAGGCTCCAGATGTACAATGGTGAACATGAGTTTCATACACATACATCTTACATGAACAAAGGGCTCTTCTGAACGTCCAGGGAAAACTAGCTTCAAATCAGTGAGGCTCTCGTGCCTTTGAGAAGTCAAGCCTAGTGTCCACGTATGCAAATTCAGCCTCTTGTTATCGAGTCCTGAAGAATAACTAGATACAGGTTGTTTCCGTAACATAATTTACATTCATTTCTGTTATGCTTCCATTTTAGGTGTATGTCCTTAGTTTCTTTATGCTACTTTTCAATTGCTTTTTCTTTCCCCAATAACTATTTCATTTCCCAAGTAACTGCTCCCTTATTCCCTTACGCCTGTAATTCTATTTCATAAGAGACTTTTTTACAACTCTTTAATAAACGGGACTGATAGAAAACATATATAGCTTTGTCTCAGTCTTTTTTGGATAGAAAAAGGAAAATCTTTATGGATACAAAGGAAAACCTTTATCAAGTGTCTACTAATTAAAAGTACTTTCTTAAATCCTCACAATAACCTTGACAAGAAACATTGCAGGTGGAAAACTGTTACTCAGGTAAACAAAGTGACTTAATGAAGGTCACACAGACACAAAGTTGGGACTCAAGTTCAAGTGTGTCAGGCTCCCAAGTCTTTCCACTTCCCCAGTCTGTTTCTCTGAACAAGCCATCTTTTACCCCACGGCACTCATGCATCCTAGGTATGTTGCCGTTTCTTACAACTAGTTAAGTTTTCTTCCTCTTTCCTTCAGTTCTTTCTTAAAACTTTCCTATCTTCAAAAGTAGCCTTGCTGGATCTATCTGAAAAAAATCTTGACCTTGCCCATTCAGATCCAGAATTCCCTTTCGAATTCCCAGGTCACTCTGAAATTTGCAGGAATACCCTTCCTTTTCACAAGTTGGAGCTAACCCAACAATTGCAGGAGGCAGATACATCACTGTCCTCTACAGAAGGAACACTTTGCCTGAATATGCATGACACCTTAAAAAGGCTTAAGTAACATCTCAAAACTCTTCTTAATCCCTGTATGATTACTGTCCTTAAGCATACCGCTCTTCCAGTAACCCGGTCCCATTTTTGTTCTGATAACATTTTCTGAACAGCAGTCTCTCCAGCTACTGAAAACTGGTTAGCTTTAAATCTAGGAATTTTTCTTATGATCAAATTCATTAAATTTTTGTGTAAGGATCTTCATCACAGTTCACTGCTTATTTTCATATCCTCCAAAGAGATGTTGCAGGGACCTTTCTTGAAAGCCAATCTGTCCTCCCTTTTATACTGTCATGACTTGCTTCTTTCTTCAGTTTTGTAGACATGTGGACATACAGTGATATTTTAAAATCTCCATTTTCCATCTTTGTTGGGGCTTTTTGTTCATTATTCTATTCTAACTTTCAGCTTAATAGTCAACTCCTTTCAACAACTTCATTTGCAGATGACAGCACATGCAACCCAAGGTCCAAGAAATAAAACAAACTCTGCATACCCAATTTTTCTTATCTGTTCCATTAATACCCTTCCAGGGCCTAATCTTACTTATCCCTCTACTTCCTGGGCTATGCATGTATAGCTGAGAAATAACAAGCACCTCTCCTTCACTTTCCCTTTCCATCATGCACCATTCACACAGGTAAGAATGTTGAGTTATTCTGAAAGCACTATCTTTCTTTTTATCAGGATGAATAATTTGTCAAAGAAATTAAGTAACTCAAAGTCAGACAGCAAATAAATTATAGTGCAAAATCTACAACCAGGATTTAATGTCCCTTCTTCTAGAAAATAGTAATACAAGAGTAAAATCAGCTAAAAATGGCATTTCCTACTCTCCAGCACACACACATGCGCGCACGCAACAAATAGCGCATATGGCTATGTTTATCAAGCTCTCTGCGGAGGCAACAAAAATCAAAATACCAGTTTACCACCCTTTCATTGTTAAATACATAACCAGATTAAATTATTTTCAATTCATAAAGTATAACAACAAAGTATTTTCTTTTTTGCTTTGACTTGTAACATACAAATAAACATTTAGGAATCAGTGGATTTGACTATTTTGAGCCAGAAACGCCCCATGTTTTCAGAGCTATGCACGCACTATTTATGTGTGTATATGCAAACATAATGAAATTTAAATTTATTTTAAAAGAGGTATTGACTATGTCCTCCTTACAGAACAGTTTTGTTTACCCAGCTGGCATGTTCAGTATCATTCCATGTTGCTTTGCTAATACAGTTATCTTATATATATGTATATCCTCCCGCCCCCCGTATCTGTCCATTATTTCACTCAATTCATCCCAGTCATCAAAAGGCAGTTTATTTTAGGAAGGTATGGTGATTAGAGCAGTCTGCAGCCCAATTTGTGTATCTGCCTCCCAATACAGTAATAATTTACAATTAGCAAAAGAACTATTTCCCCCATTTACCCTCTGCAGAGCCTAAGCAGAATAACCAGCGGCAAAGACATGTTAATACAAAATATTAATAAACCCAACTACAAAACAATAAAAGGTCATGCAACTATTAGGATTTTCATTTATATATTTCTTAGGTTTCTATAACATTTTCCACATACATCTTAATCTGATGGTCCCATTTAGTAACTCAGATATTTTAACAATTCCCAATACGCAAATGAGCAAATAGGCTCAGTCGACACTTGATACTAATCCTTTACTAAGTTATGCTCTTTTTATCCAATCATACTAGATTGTGGACCTCAGCCTCTTGAAAGTTAAATTACTTTACTTAAAAAATTGGAGAATTTCCTGGACAGTGTGGCTCAGTAGGCTGGAGCGTTGTCTCATACACTGAAAGGTCTCAGGTTCAATTCCTGGTCAGGGCACATGCCCAGGATGCAGGTTCAATCCCCGGTCGGGACACATACTGGAGGCAACTGATCAATGTCTCTCTCTCCCTAAAATCAATTAAAAACATATCCTTGAGCGAGAATTAAAAAGAAAATTGGGGCCCTGGCCGGTTTGGCTCAGCGGTTAGAGCATCGGCCTGCGGTCCGGAGAGACCCGGGTTCAGTTCCCGCTAAGGGCACGTACTTCGGTTGCAGTTTGTCCCCGGCCCTGGTTGGTTGTGCGGGTGGCAGCCACTCGATGTGTCCCTTCACGTCGATGTTTCTCTCTCTCTCTCTCCCTTCCTCTCTCTCCCTCCCTCTCTATCTGTACAAAAAATGGAAAAATATCCTCGGGTGAGGATAAAAAAAAAAAAAAAAAAAAGAAAGAAAATTGGGGATTATCCTTGAACCCCTGCAGCAACAAAATTCTGATTTTAGCACCATGTTTGAAAACAGAATATTGTAAATTTTCAGCATTCTAGGAATTTTCATTCTCAACATTATAATATTCAAACATCATTAACCCCATCTCAGAATAATTTAAATACTTTTTTGTTTGTTTCTTTTTGTTTGTATTTTTTTATCCTCACCCGAGGACATTTTTCCATTTTTTGTTCAGGAAGAGTGAGAGGGAGAGAGAGGAACAGAGAGAGAAACATCGATGTGAAAGGAACACACGAGTGGCTGCCACCTGCACAACCGACCAGGGCCGGGGACAAACTGCAACCGACACATGCGCCCTTAGCGGGAACCGAACCCGGGTCTCAGGACCGCAGGCCGACGCTTTAACCGCTGAGCCAAACCGGCCAGGGCAATACTTTTTAAAATCCTCACCCCAGGACATTCCTGCATTCATCTTCAGATAGAACAGGAGGGAGAAAGGAAGAGAGAGAGAACATGGATGTGAGAGAGACACATCGACTGGTTGCCACCCACACGACCTCAACTGGGGCCAGGGACAAACTGCAACCGAGGTACGTGCCCTTATTGAGAACCGAACTTGGGAGTTTCCGGTCCGTGGGACGATGCTGTAACCGCTGAGCCAAACTAGCCAAGGCATAATTTAAATTTATAAATAATAAATTTTATAAATAATTTCATATCAAGAACAAACTATTATTTATGGTTGAATACACAATTATGTTCCTAAAAATTTGGGGAAAATCAATTTTCCTAACAAACAAATCTTTTTATAAACCAAAGAATGTTATTGGTAATACAACCACCCCTCAATCTGTTCAGAGCATTATTTTCTTAAGATTTCAATAATGTACATATAACAGGTTCATCTGAACCATGAACAAACTATAATCAACTTTTAAGATTTCAGTTTTCAAGCAAAGGGTTTAATTTCATGTTGGTTAGCTATTATCCATTTACTACATTAACAATATATATTTTTTCTCACAGCACTAAGGGACTCAATTTCCTTTTAGCCACACGTCAGGAACTTAACAAGACTGGCAGTAACAGTCATATTCTAATTTTTTTCATCACCGACACGTTTATGTATAGTTTTGAACTTTTATCAGTTACAAAATTATCAAGTCTCACTTAAAAAAAAAAAATCAAAGTTTATGTTTTTAAACAAAAAGGCATTTATTTAAACATTTTAAAATGTGTGCTCTATGGGATATATGTTGGTTATAAAAAAGTTCAACTTTTGGCTCTGCAAAATAAGTTAACATTTGGAAGTGGTTTCATAAAAAATTTGATTTTTCAGTGTCTGTAATTTTAGCTATTTTAACACTAAATGCAGTATTTTAAACACTAAATTGCTTTAAAATTAGGAATAAACTGGTGTTTTGGTTTGAAATTTGAATTACTGTAAATCATCCTATCAATGATAAGAATATTACACATATTTTAAAATGGCCTGCTTTATGCATTGAACACAGAATTAAACACAGAATTATTAGTTAACAGCATACTATGATAAATTGGTTATTAAATCTCCAGAATCAATTTTTTCTAATAATCTTTTAGGTAATGTGCAAGCAGTCTTATGCAGAAATGGGAAAGGCTTTTGCTTAACCAAAGAACACACTGTGCAAAATACAAACGAAAGAGAAAGAATACTTCAGAATGGAGCAATAATTACTTCAAATGAACCCCACAGGCTCCTAGAAGGGCAAATAAAAACCACAAGAGGACTTGGATTTCATGGAAATCCCAAACTGAAAAAATTCATTATTCCAGCACCTCAAACTATTTCTGTCCCTATAGATAACTTATGCCAATTCCTTATCTTAGCTACTAATGGACTCTGGGAAGTTCTGGATAAAAAGGAAGTCACTACACTGGCAATAACAATGTTTCAAATGTATAAAGAAACATACTGTTCTAGCATCCAAAAACAATCTTCACCATCCAAACATCCTCTGTTTTTCTCAATCAGTGAACCAAGCATTAATAAATCAGAAAGTAATATCCACACATGGTTTCAGCATAAATCTGAAGAATGCGTGTCAAGTACAAATTCAAAAGAAAAACTGTTAGACTCAAAATATTCTAAATATTTCACTGGTGGTCCTAAAAATGTACAAATATCTCTACCAGAAATGACTAGTTGTAACACTTGCAACAAGAAAGAAAATGATGGACCAATCCATGTAGATGGTATGCCAAAAGATTCAAGTGAAAAAGAAAAAACACCCACCAAGAATTTCTATGAAAGTGCAGCTGAGTATATCAGCCATGAACTTGTAAATGCTGCTTTAGTGGCTGGCTCCAGAGACAACATTACAGTTATGGTAATACTTCTCAATGGAAGTGAGTATCAGTTTCTGAAGTAAAAGATAAATTTCTGACTATCCAGAATACAAAAATATAAAGAGAATTCTTCAATGAACCAGATATTAGGATACTACATTAGTACCAACAAATCATTTTTAAACATGTGGTAAAGAAAATATGAAAGAAGATTTTGAGTTACATAATGCCAATTATATGTTCACTGTTCATGTCAAAAAAGAAAAACCAGTACTTGATTTTTGTACCACTTTATTCCAACCTGAGCACCTCAATATAAAACTAAACACTGGTGAACTGTTTTCTTTACTAATTCTGAATTACTGTAAATGTACACGTTCTGGTAGCAGTTCAACACTTAAATAGATTAAATCATCTCTGACACATGGTAGGTTTCATATAATGAAAATACCTAAACAATTAGTGCAATATACTGAACTGATCAAAATAAAACAAACTTTGGAAAACAAAGCTGCAAGACTTTTACTAACATGTCTCAATACTTAGGCTAAAGATTACTGGTACATTGTTGATTATGGTTCTAGTCATGTAGGAATTGAAGCCCCTTCCTTTAAAAGGGAGTGAGAACGAAGAAATTAGCTGTTTTAGTAACTGTACATTTTGTATACTTTTAAGCAACTCTTAAATATTACAGAAAAGTAATAAACATATGAAGACTACAATGCAGTACCCTATTTACAGTACAGCTGAAGATCGAATTTAAAATAATCAAGTTTGAATGTACATAATTGTTAGTGCATTGACTATATTATGGCTAAAGGGAACAAAAGCCCCCTCTATGCCCCCAAACAAAACCAATATAATGGCCTGCAGTGATTAAATAGAAATAACAGACACCTGGTTTGTTTCATGTTTGTTGAAGAGCTCACGTGTTTGAAGGAAACACTACCCATTAAGACGCATTTATCAGTTTTCATATTTCTAAAACAAAACGGGGTTACATTTGATTTTTTTTAAACCCCATTTTAAAAATAACAGGACTGGCTACAATTCAGATGCCACTCAAGTTCATCCCCCTCTACCCCGCCCTCCTCCCCAAGATGTGGGACTGTTTTCTTGTAGCTAATTTGCTATCATGTGGAATGTACACTTTAAATATGAATACTAAGAGAAATTACCGGATGCCTAAATACTATAGCTAAGCATAAATATCTTTAGAACCTTCTTCTAAAAAAAGAATGTTTCTGAAAGGCTCAAATTAAGTTCAAAATTGTTTTCTTAGAACTGGCTGGTTAACTGTGGATTCAGATAGTCACTTGTCTATATCCCTGGTGATGAGAAATGATTCCCCCTAACCTTCTGAGGAAACAAGTGCACCCAGCTCTCACTTCCCCGTCTACTGCTGAAACATTAGTCAGAGGGTCACATGCATGTTATTAAAAATTAAGTTCAAAACACTCAAAATAATTCTGTATTAGAAACTTGACTCTATCATAAGTCTCTTCTTTTTGGAAGTCATACTGAGCTGGTTAAATGCTCCAATTCCATGGTTATTAACATTTAGGAAGCAGAAGACTATTCCAGCTAGATCAAACTGGAGGTTTAGTTACTACAACACTGACTCCTGGTTGGCTGCGTGGGTTCAGCAAGGTCTACTCCTCTTCCCCTGGTAGAATTTGCTCCTGGATTCTGTGGTTCATTCTTTGGCAACTTTTTAGCTGAGAGATAAAGTATTAAAATAAAATAAACACAATCAGAATATGCATACTGTTTAAGAATTACTTACATCTGCTTACTTATAATCTGCCTTTCCAGTTAGGTTATCCCAGCGTATCACATAATCACATGTCCATTCTTTTAAAATGTTTATTGAGCATCCATTAAATATCAAAACATTGGTCACTGTCTTGAGGAAGTTTAATGAGTTGATGGAAGAGTAAAATGGGGATCAGTTGCTGACACACAATTAAAATTTAACTTGACCAGAGCAATATTAAATTCTTTATATAGATTCACTTAACAATACCAGAAAAGCTGTACTTTATTTCATAATCATTAACACTTCTATTATTTAAAGAAAATCTAAGTTAAAAATGATGGCCAGGCAATATGTTCATAAAGAATCTCAGCTTATATCAATGTTCTCTGGTACCACAAGCACTTTTTGGAACAAGTTGGGATATAAACAGATACCATTACCATCACAAAGCAGAACTTGTCCTCTACTGTGAAACCTAATTATTACCAAATTATGACAGATCACATCTCCTATTTTCTTCTTGGCTTACACAGATTTTACCTTTCAAATATCTACCATTTTCCTCTCATATAACTGAATAAGAACACTAATCTCACTCACCAGTAACTACTTAATATAAGTGAGATTGTTCCTGAGGCTCTGAAAAATTTATTTTCCAATTTTGAGTCAGATGAGCATGGCTTGCCACATTCGAATAAAGCCCTTGAACCAGTAGTTACGGCTTTAGCTCTGCTAAGCTCGGTACAACTAATGTTCTCTGGAGCACCGCTCCTACTGAGTAGATATCGTCTGCTTGGATTCTGAAGATCCTTGATGTGCTGGATTTATTAAATGTTAAACATCTCTAAGAGTACAGATTGTAAGGGTAGATAGACACAATGGTTTCTATCAACCTTGGGGATAGAATACTAAGGCAAGACTCTAACTTAACCTTAGCTTTAGCTAAGTTTACACAAAAGTTAAACATGCTCTACTTCAAAATCGGAATGTCCTTTATTTATTGTAATAGTGCACATTAGCATTAATAATCTTTAGAATTCTAGATGCTGGGCTGGGCAATAGATCTGGGAGCCAGGAGCAATGAGGTTTGGAAAGAAAAGCCATCACCTTGGGCCACTTCTCTAGAACTGTTCAACAGATGGTAGTGTTAATGGTAACAAAATGGTAAATTTCCAGTCAGCTGTATTCACAAAGTCTCACTGGACAAAGAGTAAGCTAGCATTATAAACTTTATTATAATGAATACCAACTTAGGTTTTGGAGTGAGTGACCATTTCTCACTTTAGCATACTTCTCCAAAAGCTCCATGTAATTAGATATTAGTGAAATCAGGAGGCTGAAGGAAATCAACTGTAATAAACTTTCAGCTTCTATTGGTTAATTTTTAGTGATGATAAATTAAAACACACTTTTGGGATCTCAAAAAAAAGTCTCCTGTTATTAAAGTGAAACTGGTACTATCTGTTTTGTATGGATAACTATAGCTTACCACTTTGTCCCTAAATTGATTAGGATTAGCATTAACTTGATCTAAAAATCCTAGATCAAGTTAATGAAGACCTTATAAAATTAAAAGCAAATGATAAATTTATTGTAGACTCTCCCACGATTAAAGTGCACTCCATTTGGGAAGTCATCAAAAGTAAAAATGTGAGTGCATTGTGTGATTTAAGTTATAATCTGGTAAAAGAAAAGGCCTTTCATTTCTTTCAAGGAAAGAAAATTCTAATTTCGGAAAAATAATCAAAAGTTTTAGTATGTAGGCTACTTTCTGACTGGAAAAATGACCTTACTAGTACATGTGAATAAAAAATATAAATTAAATAAAGTCCATCTGGTACTCTTAATACCATCAGAAAGTTTTAAAGTTCAGCCTGACTTGAGGAACCTATTATTTCGTTTCCTTTTAACTTTTCATATGTGGTACTGGATGTCATCGTCCCATTTGTAAAAAGAGCACTCTGCCACACAATCCTTCACAATTATGTTAGCATTTCCCTCATAACTGCAAGCCTGAGTTTTCTCAGGAAAATATTTTACACAACAGGCAAGTTTTTTCCTAAATGAGCCACCATTATACTCTCACCTAGTGAAAGATATTATGACAGTACTTGCAACTTTCACTGAGTTTTCTTTAGCTTCTAAATAAGCTCGTAATTGGTTAATCTGTATGACTTCAATATAAAAGTATATTTATTTGGGGATAGGAATGTAGACATCCAGTTAATTGTCACTGTTGTTTAATAAAAGATGTTATGGGACATGAAGAGCTCTTGCACATGAATAATGTGGAGGCAGAAAACTGTGAAAGCCACCTAGATAGACTATTGCCATAGAATCTGCATCTTAAATTTAAAATTAATGGAAGGAGCCCTGGCTGGTGTGATTTGGTGGTCAGAGTATCAGTCCAGTCAAGGGCATGTACCTGGGTTGCAGGTTTGATCCTTGGCCCCGACTGAGGCACGTGCAGGAGGCAATCAATCAATCTCTCTCATATCAAAGTTTCTCTTTCTCCCCCTCTCCCTCCTTCCTTCCAGTCTCTCTAAAAATCAATGGAAAAAATATCCTTGGGTGAGGATTAACGAGGGGAAAAAAAAGAAAAAAGAAAAAAACTAATGGAAGAAGGTTAGGGTCAATAAATACTTTTATTTTTGTTGTAGACAAAAGGAAACTTCCTTTTTATTACTAACTATTCCAACTTCATTACCTGTAATCAGCAACGGTCAACTAGCAATTATCATCAGTTAAAAGAACCTTACAGGAAAGGTAAGAGTGCTACAGAGGATCGAATGACCACTGTGGTAATTCATGCTTTGAAACTTTCTCTATTATAATATTTGCATTAAAAGAATATGGCTCTAAGTTTATTACCTTTTATATAAAAAGTATACCCTAATAGAAAAACACACGTTTACTCAAATTTCTCAGTGAAATCTTTAGGAAAGCATTCTGCTTGAACTATCAGCTCAAAGTCCAGGCTTTCAACCGAGAAGAAACTAAACTACAAGTATTACAACCTAATAGGTAAAATAATCTCTCAAATTTAACAACATTACAAAGTAATGAATGCTTAGTCAAAAGGATCTAAAACAGTTACAGAATCTTTAAAAAACAAAAAAAGAAAGAAAATCCAAGAAATTTTATAAAAATCAAACTAGCCTTGGCCAGTCTGGCTCAGTTGCTTGGGTGTCATCCCAATGCACTAAAAAGGTTGCCAGTTTGATTCCTGGTCAGGCACATGCCTGGTTTTCAGGCTCGATCCCCAGGAGGGGGCATGCAGGAGGCAGCCGACTGATATTACACTCTTACATCAATGTTTCTCTCTCTCTCTCCCCTGCCCTGTTCTGCCCCCTCTAAAAATAAGAGTCAAAATAAAGTTGACCCAGTGTAACTTATTTTGCCTATATTTATAGTTTAAAAAAA